AGTGGGAAATTTATGTGCGGACCATTTACAATCTTGCTGTTACTTTATATATTACTTCTGTGTTAATTACATTTAGAAAACACTTCACTAAATTACTCTAAATCAGCACCCAGTCTTTCTCAGGATATGTTTGTTCTAGGTCTGGTATATTGTGGCCATTTGTAAAGTTGTGAATACAGTATATAGATCAAATTTAGAAGAGGACCAACATCCCCGCATAGAAGCTTTCTACTGCCTCCAGTTGTCTGAATAACGTGGGACAGACTTCAATACTAGTATGTAATGTCACTAAAGCTGTGGAGAATTTTTTTTAGCTAAACTTCAACTTTAGACTCTATGCCTGAGAGATGGGATACAGCCAGGGTGATGCAGAGGGATAAAGATCTCTAAGGCTGCCATACATTATACAATCTGATTGCCGTAGAGGGTTTGTCTCTAAGAGGGCCAGGGTGATGCAGAGTGCCGCAGATAGGATAAATACAGGGGATCTCTAAGAGGGTCAAGAGCAGAGCTATCCCTGTCTGACGGAGAGTTCCTGTATAAGAGATAATAGTGGAGAAGAATGGTAATAGTGCACAGTGCCTGGTAGATCTATGTTCCCATCCTTTTTATGCCTATAAAGGGTATTTTGGGATACTCTAAGTTGGGAAGATTTCCAGATGAAGGCAATATTCTGTAATGATCTAAGTGCAAATCAGGGAATGGCTATAGAGAACATTCTAAAATAGTATAAAAGCTTAAGAAGCAAAGTTTTTTTCACAGCAAACCAAATCCAAACCATGAAAGGGAGGCTATATTTAAATCTGAGGATTTACTCCATTTGAATATGAGACCCAAAATGAGTAGAAGGTTAGCAGTGGAAATGTGAGCCTGGATAATCTGAGCAGAGCAAATGTTCATCTGCAAAAACTAGCCTTATATTCTAGTCTTGCGAATTCTACCCTATTTATATCTCCCTTTATCTATGTGAGGCAAGATGATGAACATGTAGGCAGGTTCAGTTTATTTTCCATTCTGTAGGTGGTGCTGTGTTGCTCTGTTGCTGTGCAAATGAAGTGGAGCCTACGAGAAACTTTGTTCCTCTGTAGGTGTTATCAGGGGGGCAGTGCCCCAATTGGACACTGTAACGCTGAGTGACCTTTGATGACTTTCTTTAGTATAGGCAGTATTAATAAGTATCAATGCTCTACTGCATTTGGCATGCATTTGCAAGTGGCTAGAGTAGGAAAAGGAACCACACTTGTCAGGGACAGTGAACTGGCCTTAAGGAAAGGTTTGCGCCCAAGGTTAGCAGCACATGTGTACATTCTGCTATTCACTGGTATCTGGTATTACTGCATAGGACCCATACCATGTCCTCAAGTGCCACTTGTGTTGCCACTCTGCCAGTCAGCCACCCCTTCTGCAGTTGTTACCCCAGCATTACTGTGGCTCCTACTATTAGCAATACTGCACCTATACTATCAGCGTTACTGAGTTTGCTACTACGAGAGTGTCTGGAACTGTTACTTCATGTGTTCTGCCACAGTTTCTACAGCCATACTTCTAGTGCTAGTGATAACAGATTGTCATTTATCTTGTTTTTCATTTACCTGCAACTCTTCACTACAATAACTTTTCACAGTCCATGTAGGATTTGTAATAGAAGTAATGATAATCAGCGCAAATAGTGGACCAAAGCCCGAAAAGTCTAGTAGTATTTAGAAATAGTCCGGGTGACTTGGATAAGGGGGGTCCCGTGTGGCACTTAGGGCAAGCTCCATGCAGTACTGTAGCAGACTCTGTGTAGTAAGGAGAGAAGAAGAAGCGCCTCTAAGTGCTAAGTGCAGCAGACCACTTTAATATATAATAAAAAGTAGGAACACTCACATGGTAGTAGAGTAATAAAAGCATGTAGGGTATTGTGGTGTAGAAACACCGCGTGGAACGGCTGTCACTGGTGCCTGTATCGTCCACGTCCCAATGGTAGGGAGCGTGGTTCAGGAGGGAGACAGATGTGGAGCCGGCCGACATGCATGTACTCCTAAAGATGGCGGCTGGAACGCACGCTGAACCACAGCATCTGCGTAGGCGTGATGTCGTCAGTGACCAAGATGCAATGCGACGCGTTTCGGGGCATGCTCTGGCTTCTAGTGGTGGAAGCGCGCTCCTTTCTCAAGCACGGGAATGACATGGCAGAAGGACTGTTCCTTTTATAATGGCTAATGTGCCTTAATTGGCAATCAACAATTTAGGAATAACAATTAGCATAATTGTAAACATGTGGGTTAGTGATGAGGAACATGTGGGTCTTACAATTAAAAGCATAAGTGGGGGAAGAATACACTGTAGCAGGGGAAAATTACGATAATAGGGGAAACAAACGACAATCATTACCATGATACAGGGAATGGGGGAATAATTAAAATGATATAAAAAAGGGGGGATAAGAATAAGAATAAAATAATAAATTAAAAGATGAAAAAATGAGATTAAAAGCAATAAAAAATAAAATAAAAACATAGTTATAAATCTATGCATAATCCTCCCTGGGGTGCCATAATGGATAGGAATGAGTATATAAATGAGTATAATAATAGAAAATGAAAAAAAATATTACAATTAAATTGAGTAAAGATATGATAATAATCGCATGATGTATGGAAATAAACGCATGAATATGGAAAAAATATAACATGGGATAAAAATGGCATAAAAAAGATAGGAATTTTTTTTATAAATTGAAGATTAAAAAATAATGGAATAAATGAATGAATAAATAAAATAGAATATGGTGCGAATACTTGTCAGAAAAAAATTAAAAAAATCATTAAAAAAAAGTATAAAAAAATTGTTAAAAAATTTAAATGAGTAAAAATTAAAATTAAAATGATGAGATAAGGCGGAGTAAAATGTGTTAGAGAATAGTGTTAATATCTATTTCCTCATTTAGACCACCTGGGGACAAAGTGTCCAATATAAAAATCCAGTATGTTTCTTGCGAGCAAAGCTTAATAAAACGTTCAGACTCTGAGAGGTTTCTGGAAATGGATTCTAAAACCCAAACCTGTAGACCATCAGTGGATTTATTGTGGAATTCTAGAAAATGCCGGGGGACACTATTTTTGTCTTTGCAGTCTTCAATGAGGCGGCGATGTTCACCAAATATGGCGTGAAGGGGCCTGATGGTACGTCCCACATACAGAAGGCCACGGGGACAGGTTAAACAGTATACAACATAATCAGTAGAACAATTATAGAATTCTTTAAATGTGTATGTTTTGCCTTTAGCAGTAAAGGTTCTTTGCCCATGATTGACAAACTTGCATGTTTTGCATAAGGCTTTTTTACATTAGTACATGTCATGGGAAATAAGCTGAGTGTGTTAGGTGTCCTCACAGGGGGGTTATACTTGCTGGGAGCAAGCTTATTTTTGAGGTTTGTGGCTCTGCGATATGTGAATTTTGGTTCTACCTCTACAGTGTCAATTAAGTGGGGATCCTATAGTAAAATTGGCCAATGTCTGTTTAATAATGCTCTCTATTTTATGGAAGTGTTTGTGAAATTTGGTGACAAATCTGATTGGATTGTGTGGCTCCTTCTCATTAGACGTGGAGGATTTGCCATTTTAATAGAAGGAACAGGCTTCATCTACCAATGTGTGCGGATATGTCCTTTAGGGATATTCTGGATCCACTTTGGATGGTGACAGCTATTGAAATGCAGGTATGAGTTACCTGAGACAGGTTTGAAATGGTTCCTAGTATTTATTGCGTTGTTGTCATGGTATAGTTCTAAATCAAGGAATATTAATGTGTCTTTGTGGTGTACAGAGGTGAAAAGGTCTGAAGGGGTTAGAGTTGCAGTGAGCAACAAATTTATCAATGTCGGTTATAGGGCCATCCCAAATGACGATTATGTCGTATATGTAGCGACCATAGAATACCACTTGTGAGGCAAAGGGATTATCACGCCATATGAATTTATCCTCCCAAAAACTCATAATTAAATTAGCATATGAGGGGGGCAAAATTGTCTCCAATAGCCGTGCCCTGTATTTGTAGATAGAAATCGTTATAGAACGGTAAGTAGTTGTGTTTCAAACAGAAGGAGGTGGCGTCTATATTAAGGGATGACTGTTTGGAGTTGATAGATGGGTCCATGGATAGGTAATGTTAGATGACTGTTATCCCTACTTCATGTGGTATTGAGGAATATAAAGAGTTAACATCTAAGAGACCCAACAGTAATTGGGCTCCCAGGTGTAAGATTTTAACAATTCTAAAAGATGCCCACTGTCTCTAATGTAGGAATTTTGTGCCTGTGCTAGAGGTTGCAGGAAGTGATCGATGTATTGTGAGAAACCACTAGTGATGCTACCTGTGGCTGCTACAATGGGTCTACCTGGTGGTTTAAGATTTTTTTGCACTTTGGGTAAAAAATAAAAATATGGGGTGTTATAAAAATCTTTAGATAAAAAGGAGGCTTCCGACTTGGTGATGACACCATTTTGTAGAGCTGTATTTGTTAACTGTAGGGCCTCAAGTTTAATGTCAAATAGCGGATCTTTAGTCAATTTTTTATAAGTGGATGTATCAGAAAGTAATCTGTGGGCTTCGGCTATATAGTCTATGGTATTTAAGAGAACAATGCCTCCGCCTTTGTCAGCAGGTTTAATTATGATGTCAATATTGTCAGATAGGGTTGTTATAGATTTCTTTTCAGTAGCATTCAAATTTGAAGAGGGGTGCTCATGACCAGGATTGCATACGTTAACGAATTCTGAGTAAACAACTCTATAAAAGCTTTCTAGATAGGGGCCTTTTACTCCACCTTATCTCATCATTTTAATTTAAATTTTTACTCATTTAAATTTTTTAACCACCTCCCGCCCGGCATATAGTGTAATGATGGGCGCAAGGTGGTTCTCTCGTTCTGGAAGGACGTCATATGACGTTGTCCCATTCTAACTGCACATGCGCGGCTCCCTCCGACACAGCAGATCACCAATCAACTGAAAGAGCCGAAGATATCGGCTCGGTCATGTGATCAGCTGTGTCCAATCACAGCTGATCGCATGTAAATAGGGAAATGCCAGTTATCGGCATTTCTCTCCTCACGAGCTGTCGCGCTGACAGCTCCGGAGGAGAGAAGAGAGGCGGTAATCGGCATTCCTCAGAGGGGACATGTGCACTGATCATCAGGGCACTGATGATCAGTGTGCCCTGATGATCAGTGTAGCCCCAGCAGTGCCACCTGTCAGTGTCCATCAGTGCCAGCTGTCAGCGCTCATCAATGCCACCTGCCAGTGCCCATCAGTGCCACATCAATGCCACATATCAGTGCCTACCAGTGCACATCAATGCCACATATCAGTGCCCATCTGATCTGCCTTTCAGTGTCACCCATCAGTGCCAGTCAGTGCCACATATCAGTGCCTACCAGTGCACATCAATGCCACATATCAGTGCCCATCTGAGCTGCCTTTCAGTGTCACCCATCAGTGCCAGTCAGTGCCACCTATCTGTGCTACCAATCAGTGCCACCTATCAGTGCAAGTCAGTGCCACCTATCATTGCCCATCAGTGCTGCCCATCAGTGCTGCCTAACAGTGCCAGTCAGTGACACCTAACAGTGCCAGTCAGTACCACCTAGCAGTGCCACCTATCAGTGCTGCCTTTCAGTGCCCATCATTGATGCCTGCCAAAGTCCATCAGTGACACCTACCACTGCCTCCACATCAGTGCCACCTATCAGTGCCCATCAGTGCAGCCTATCAGTGCCCATCACTGCAGCCTCATTAGCGTACATCAGTGAAGGAAAAAAATTACTTATTTACAAAATTTTATAACAAAAACTAAGAAAAACTTTTTTTTTTCAAAATTTTCAGTGGTTTTTGGTTTGTTTAAGAAAAAATAAAAAACCCAGAGGTGATTAAATACCACCAAAATAAAGCTCTGTCTCAAAAAAATAACAATTCATATGGGTACAGTGTTGCATGACTGTACAATTGTTATTCAAAGTGTGAGTGCTGAAAGCTGGAAATTGGCCTGGGCAGGAAGGGGATATAGGTGCCCTGTAGGCTAGTGGTTAATAATATATATATTTTTTTTAATGATTTTTTTTTTTTTTTCTGACAAGTATTCGCAACATATTCTATTTTATTTATTCATTCATTTATTCCATTATTTTTTAATCTTCAATTTAAAAAAAAAAAGCCCCATCCTTTTTCCCATATTATGTTTTTTTACATATTTATGCGTTTATTTCCATACATCATGCGTTTATTAACATATTATTACTAAATTTAATTTTAATATTTTTTTCCATTTTCTATTAATATACTAATTTATATACTCATTCATATCCATTATGGCACCCCGGGGAAGATTATGCATAGATTTATAACTATGTTTTTATTTTTGTTTTTTTTATTGCTTTTTATCTAATTCTTTCATCTTTTTATTCATTATTTTATTCCTATCCCCCCTTTTTTTATATAATTTTAATTCTTCCCTCATTCCCTGTATCATGATAATGATTGTCGTTTGTTTCCCCTTTTTTTTCCCTATTATCGTAATTTTCCCCTGATACTGTGTTTTCTTCCCCCACTTATGCTTTTGATTGTAAGACCCACATGTTCCTCATCACTAACCCACGTTTCCAATTATGCTAATTGTTATTCACAAATTGGTTATTGCCAATTAAGGCACATTAGCCATTATAAAAGGAACGGTCCTTCTACCATGCCATTCCCCTGCTTGAGAAAGGAGCATGCTTCCGCCACTAGAAGCCAGTGCATGCTCCGAAACACGTCGCATTGCATCTTAGTCACTGATGACATCATGCCTACGGCGATATTACGGTTCAGCGTGCGTTCCAGCCGCCATCTTTAGGAGTACGTGCATGCCGGCCGGGTCCACATCTATCTCCCCCCTGAACCACTCTCCCTACCACTGAGACGTGGACGATACAGGCACCAGTGACAGCCGTTCCACGCGGTGTTTCTACACCACAATACCCTACATGCTTTTATTACTCTACTACCATGTGAGTGTTCCTACTATATTATATATTAAAGTGGTCTGCTGCACTTAGAGGCGTTTCTTCTCTCCTTCATGTAGGATTTGTGGCTGGCCTGATAAAAATGTATGGAAAAAATACAACTGTTGAACCTTTTCCTGGACTTTGTGTATTGTTCCTGGACTTTGTGTGTCGTTCCTTCCACTTGAGTACCAACCTCCTGGTGCCACCCACAAACATTTGTAGATATTAAGTTACAATTATAGAAATGTGTTCTTGCCATTAGTCAATCTGCATAGCATGTGTTTACTGAAATATATTTTATTTACTTTTAGTAAGTAAGAGCTGCAGTAAGTATCTTCTCTGCACTCCCCAAGACGGACAACCCTGCAAGCAAGTTTACGTCCTTGGTACCCATAATGGTCAAGCTTTGAAGCTTCATTATAACTGATGGGCAGACAGTTGGCCATAGCCATTACTTGGCAGTTTGAGTTGCAGACACTATCTGAGCATGCAAGTTTATGTCAAAAGAGTAGAGAACAATATGTAGCCAGACACCTTCAGTCTCATGGTTGACCATTAAATTATGATTAGTCAGCCACAGATGTTTTGCTTGTTTGCTGGAAGCCACATTCATTAAGATTGTTGCCCTATCTATGTTCTACTGGTTGAATCCTCGAACAATCATTTTATGTGTGTGGGTACATTTTGTCTTTTGAATACACTATATTGCCAACAGTATTGGGATGCTTGCCTTTACATGCACATGAACTTTTTTTTTAATCAAGAAAACTTTTTATTAAGTGGAACAGATATGCAGCCACATCACATATTAAATGAAAACAAACACAGGTCGATTAGACAAACGAGTAATGCATTATACAGATTGTATAGCTTTGTCGCAGGCAAGGAAAGGAGGACCAGCATAATAGCAACGAACATAATAGATTTACAAAGAGTAATCATTCCTGCTCCTCCTCGTCACAAGTAAATGTAGAGTCGAGCCATCTATCCAAAACTTTGTGATATTTAGCAGGGCATACTCTGTGTATATAAATGAACTTCTTATATGGTAAAGTGCTATTTACCGCAGCTACCCACTGTGAAAACGTAGGCGACAGCGTCTGCAACCACATACGGGCAAGCAGTAGCCTAGCCGCAAATAGCGTCTCTTACAAAAAAGGAGTCTGAAATTTGTTGGTTTCTGAGCTAGGAAGAAGACCGAGCAGGCACTGTTTAGGGCAAAGGGTAAGAGGAGAGCCCATCTTGTCATGGACGAACCAGACCACCTGAGACCAGTAACCCTGTATAAGGGGACAGGACCATATTAAATAAAAAAAGTACTATCAGGGTCCCCACATTTAGGGCAAAGTGGGCTATGTTGTGGCCTGTATTTAGACAATTGAATTGGTGTCAAGTAGGTTCAATGCATAATATATAGCTGAGTAAAGACGGTCCGACAACCTTGGGGAAACCATCTTAGTCCAGGACAACACCTCCTCCCACATTTCATCATCCAGCTCCCCCACGTCCACCTCCCAGCAGGTTTTAAGGCGATATGCCAATAATGATGCAGAAGGGTGAGAGCAAAGCATTGTAGAATGTGGACGTGAGTTTTAGATTCTGTGCCCAAAATCAGATCCAAAAGACAATTAGAGTTGGGTTGTAAAACAGAGTCACCAAACTGGGCCCACAGAGCATGACGGAGCTTGAGATAACGAAAAAACATAAGGTTGGGGAGACGAGACCAGGCTTGCAATTTGGACTTTATCATAGGATAAGGGGGTTCTAGGGATGAGAACAATTAAAGCTTTGCACATAGACTGGGGAAGAGAGGCAGATTCAAAGATATGTTGATTTAACGAATGTAAACGGGGGATTAACGATTCCTGAAAATATGTGTAAAACTCAAGAGGGAGTCCATCAGAGCCCGGCGCTTTCGAGGGGTCAGGTGAGCCATAGCCTCAGCGATATCTTCCAAGGAAATAGGAGCCTCCAGAAGAGCAACCTGAGGGGGGATAAGGGTAGGAAATGGTATGGTTTGTAAAAATTGAAGGTTACCAGCCCATTCTCCATGTTCGAATATTCCCTGTCTGGTAAAAAAAAATATGTTGCTTAGCCTTCTCAAAGAGGAGATCATTAACCAGACAAGCCTGCAACCTGACCAATGAGGAGACCTCACCCAAGGGGTTAACTTGAAACAAATGTTCTAGGTCGAGTAAATGCTCCTGTGCCCGCCGAACAGCCAAGCTAGATGTAGATTTGTTTCTGGAGATGTGGGATACCAAAATGAAGAGCGTGCAATTTAAAGGAGTCCCAAAATGAAACCAAAGTCAGCTGAACCTTCATTATTTGCAAAGTAACAACTCCAAGCAGTCTGTACATCTTCCAGATCTGGAAGGACAGTCAGCCAAAAAGGATTCAACCTCCACATATAAATAAGGAAGGAAGAAGGCTGGCTGAGTGTCATCCAGTAAGGAGCAGCTCCAGGTACTAGGGGAGCAAACAAATCGCTGAAAAGCAGTAAACAGCCCAGGATGCCAGGTGTCCCACTGAAAAAATAAATAATCCAGAATAAAACCAGCAAAAGATAAAAAAGTTAAATAAAGAAGAGAGAAAAAAGAATGAAGAGAGGGAGAGGAAAAAAGGAAGGAGGAGAAATAAAGGGAAGGAGACCCAGAGAGGGAAAATTAAGGGAGAGAGAGGGGAGAAAAGTAGGAAGTGGAAGAAAACAGGAGAGGAAGAGAAGGAAATACAGTATATAAGCGGGCAAGAGGGGGGGAAAAAGAGAGAAGGGGAGAAAAAATAAAAAATAATAAACATGGGAAAAGTAGAGAAGATAGACTGAAGAAAAGATAAGAGAAAAAAAGAAAACCAGATAGAGGGGGGAGACACCAAACATTTAGAGAGGAAGGGCCCAAGACTTCCAAAAAAGGATGTAGAACAAAAGGAGAGAGGAGCTGAAGCTGAAATATGAAGCGTATGAAAAGAGAAATAAAAGAGAGAAGGAGATGAAGAGGATCAGATACCAGTATAGAGAAAAGGAAAAAAGGGATGGTGAAGAGTAATAGGGGAGGTATAGACAGAGGGATACACTCTCAGGGCAGCGGGCTAGGGGGAGACCAAGAAAAATAGCAGAAACTGTCCCAATAATAATAAAAAGGTATATCGGGCCTGACCAGGTCCTGGTGCTGTCCGTTGGTCCAGCCAGGTCAGCACTGATTCTGGATCTTCAAAAAAATGGTCATCCCCCATGACTCGAAATTTAGCAGGGAAAAGCATAGCATAGGACACATGGTGGACCCGGAGTTGTCTCTTAGCCTCCACAAATTGCGCACAACATTTTTGGACCTCTGTTGAAAAGCCTGGAAAAACCGTGACTCTGATATTCTGGAATGGGATACTTCCCTATTCCCTGGTGAGGTGAAGAATAGTGTCACGGTCCCGATAGTTCAGAATAAACGTGCGTGGCGGGGCTCCCTTGGGTGGAGACCTTGAGGCCAAGTGACGGACGCGCTCCACCACGAAGGTAGGGGAGAAAGCCTCCCTACCGTAGGTAGTAGTAAGTAGCGACTCCAAGATGGAGGCCTGGTCGGAACCCTCCACATTCTCGGGCAGACCAACAAACTGGAGGTTGCATCGGCGAAGCCTGTTTTCCATATCATCTTGCTTTTGCAGCACTGTATGAAGCTGATGTTGCAGGCATTCGGGTGGTGACTTGTAATGGCAAAAAATCATCCTCCACGTGACTAAGCCACACTCTAACCTCCGTAACTCGCTCCCGGAGTTTTTGTAAATCCTGTCGAATTAGCGAGATATCGATCTTCACCTCCTTAATCTTACAGGTTAAGGTACTCTGGCAGTTAGAGATTGCCTCTAGTACCTTGTTAGTGTCAGACTTCACTGGATACCCTGAGGCAGAGGTCTCGACGCCATCTTCCACCGCAATGTCCCTCTCCTTATGGCGGAACTTATCAAGTTTACCGCCAGCGTCGGCACCCTTCTTTGGTGGCGACATAGCACCAGGAGATGGAGAGGAGTTTAGCAAGGGTAGCGGGTGTTAGTATGAGCAGGATAGTAGTCAGGTTCAGCGGAAACGGATGAGTCTCAGACGGAGCTCTAAGAAGTGAACTCTACCCAATGCTGCTCCAAGCCACGCCCCCCCCATGCACATGAACTTTAATGGCATCCCAGTCTTAGTCCGTAGAGTTCAATATTGAGTTGGCTCACCCTGTGAAACTATAACAACTTCAACTCCTCTGGGAAGGCTGTCCACAAGGTTTAGTGTGTCTATGGGGAATGTTTGACCATTCTTCCAGAAGAACATTTGTGAGGCCAGGCACTGATGTCGGATGAGAAGGTCTGGCTCACAGTCTCTGCTCTAATTCATCCCAAAGGTTTTCTATTGGGTTCAGGTCAGGACTCTGCAGGCCAGTCAAATACCTCCAACCCAAACTTGCTCCTCCATGTCTTTATGGACCTTGCTTTGTACACTGGTGCACAGCCATGTTGGAAAAGGAAGAGGCCATCCCCATACTCCCACAAAGTTGGGAGTATTAAATTGTCCAAAATGTCTTGATATGTTGATGCCTTAAGTGTTCCCTTCACTGGAACTAAGGGGCCAACCCCAATCCCTGAAAAACAACCCTACACCATAATCCTCCCTCCACCAAACTTTACACTTGGCACAATGCAGTCAGGCAAGTACCGTTCTCCTGGCAACCGTCAAACCCAGACATGTCCATTGCATTGCCAGAAAAAGAAGCATGATTCATCACTCTAGAGAACATGTCTCCACTACTCTAGAGTCCATTGACTGCATGCTATACACCACTGCTTCCGATGCTTTGCAATGCACATGGTGATGTAAGGCTTGGAAGTAGCTGCTTGGATGTGGAAAACCATTCCATGAAGCTCTCTACACAATCTGAAGGCTACATGAATGTAACGGAACCGGACCCCGACTGCACTAGGGTATTTCCATTAGACTTCCGCTTCCCTGTCCAAACACAGATCCAGGGACACCACCGCTAGCCATACAGACAAGACACACCAGTCTTGGAAGGAAACCAGGAGATAGACTGCTTTATTTTAACATACAGTAGATACAAGATATATACACAGGGTGGGGAAATACACACTCAGTAACAGGAAACACATCAGCAGGCAGTCCCATCAGGGGGAAGGGCTGCCGGAAACACCCCCCACCAAGCCAATACACATAGACACAAACATCCCATAATAGTTTGCTCCCAAACAAGACGCACAATAGAACAATGGGATGCACCACATGGCAGTAAACGATGACCAACCCCCACCTATACATGTCTACACAATATCAGGACATTCCACCCCTAAAAGGCACAGGGTGACTTACACATAATAGGGATATGGGGAGCTGAGACAGGGGTCCCCCCACCCCCCAAAGTCACTCCCGTCACAATGAAGTTTAGAGTTCTTTAGCTATGATTCTGCAGACAGTTGGTGACTTCTATGAACTATGCACTTCAGCATGGGCTGACCCCACTCTGTCATTTTTAGTGGTGCACCACTTTGTGGCTAAGTTGCTGTGGTTCCCAGTTGCTTCCACTTTGTTATAATACCACTAACAGTTCACTGTGGAATATTTAGTAGCAAGGAAATTTCACGGATGGACTTATTGCACAGATGACAACCTATCACGGTACTATGTTTGAATTCACTGAGCTCCTGAGAGCAACCCATTCTTTCACAAATGTTTGTAGAAGCAGTCTGCATGCCTAGGTGCTTGATTTTATACACCTTGATTGGAACACCTAACTCCCATGATTTGGAGCGGCGTCCCAATACTTTTGGCAATATAGTGTAGATATCAACAATAGCAAGAGGAAGAGAATGCTGAAGTGATGTGACTGTTTACAAACTGAAATAGAGCTTCACTTATTCTTGGAAACTAAGGATTTATTTTAAGCTACTAATCATCTTAATAGAATTATTACTGAACTACCACTAGTAAAGAGCTCACAGCAACTAAACTATATGATGGGAATTTGGCTCTGCCACTGTCTTCCAGATTAGTAAGAGTCAGTGCACATTTACCAGACTGTGGAGTTTTACTTAGTAAAGTCTATCTGCCCAGGCAGCTACCGGTCAGGTAAAGTATTGGTGGCTAGCACACAACTCATGCTGTGACACCCACAAGCTTCAATTGCAATAACCAGTCTATGTAACTGCTACTAGTTTTTGCCTGGCTTTGCCTTGTTAGATAGTCACGGTTAATGTGCGTTTCAAACAAATGTCTGTGTATTCACAGCTGGGTATTTATTTAGTCTTGATTCACTGAGCCTGAAATGTTTCAGATAGTCTCTAGGGCAGAGTAGAAATTTTACAGCTACAATGAATGCGCCTTTAGGATGCCTACAAGGACACAGGATTGTGCATCCTTTGACCCTTCACCTGCCTACAGGAGTAGCAGTATATTAATATACAGTGGATTCAATGTGGTTCTAAAAAAAACAACCCCCCCCCCAAAAAAAAAACAAGTGAGTAACCTACAGAAAAAAACAAGACAGTTACCTACAGAGTTTAATGTAAGTTGCATTAAAATTGTTCAGTGCATATCACAATCAACTGAATTCATGTTATATTTGTTTGCAATATCCATTACAATTCAACACAGGAATTGCCAATGCCATCAGATGACAGGAAGGCAATTTTTGTTCCAACTGCAATATGAAACACTGCTGTCTGTCACTACTAGAACTAAAACAATATCAAGACAGAAACTTAATTGTACCTAGCTGACCAAAAGCATGAGAGGACAGTATACAATTTTTATACAATTTTCCTGTAGAGTTATCAAACCCATTTAATATGAGGTCAAACCTAAACACTTTCAGTTGTATGCAATCAGACAGGCCATCGCACTGCATTTTTGTTGGTAAATCTAAAGAAAATTGAATAAGAAAATTTTATAATGTATAATCAGTTTTAGTCAAGCTTGAGTCATGGAAATGGGTGCTCAAGTTGTTTAGGGCCTTGTTCAGACTGATGCAATTTCAGACACAACTTGGGTCGCACTGAAATGCATGACAATAGAAATAACATTGCTTCCAATTGAGCCCATTCACATCAATGCAGCTCAGCTGAGATGCGACTTTGGGGCAGGATCCTGTGCTACTTTGGTGTGTTGCAGTGCGATTTTGTGGTCTGTAGACTTTGATGGAATCTAAGTGCTTTTTTTATGCTCTTTTGCATGCAAGTTGCGCTGGTTGTTAAGGAACCAGCACCCAACAGTGTCTTAACAGCCAGTGACTCATCCCTACTGTCAGCAGAATGTAAACAAAAGAAAACAACAAAAAGTGTGGGTCCCCCCCAAAAAAAATCCATAATAATTTGGCCTGGCATGGCTTTGTATGAGGTACATAGTACCCAGGGGCGGACTGACCATTTAGGAACTCGGGCACTGCCCGAGGGCCCGGGATCAGGAGGGGGCCCCATGAGATGCCCCTGATACCTTTCATAGGCTTTTTTGGGTGTGGTTTGAGTGTGGGCAGAGACACAGGGGCCCCATGATTTCCTATTGCCCGGGGGCCCCATGAATTGTCAGTCCACCCCTGATAGTATCCCTACTAATTCACCCTCAAAAAATTACAAATGTAAATAAAAACTCCAACAACGAAATTCTCATGTGGGGTGTATTTGTAACTAGTTCTCACCAGACCAGGCGTTTGTCTCTGTCCACCTCCCATATATGACTCTACCAAGCATGTCATTTTTTTACGTAACTGATTTTTATTGGTATTATAATAAAATTATATTAAAATTTGTTGTACATTTTTACATATAATATTTTTGGTTATCAATGCAAATAAAAGTCTCATGGAAAGTTTCTGTCGTTTAATGCAAATGTAAATAAAAACCTTACAGCAAGGATAAATTGCAGTAGTATGCAGGTACACTGCAAAATCGTCTTGAACCTAGGATAAGAATATATGTTTCTGCTACAAAGCATTAACCTCTCTTGCGGTCTGATTATGTCAATATTTTTGAATGTCAAAGTGGTACATTGTTTTGCATGCAAATTTCAGTGTCTGATGAATTCCCCACGGATCACTATCACTCAGTTCTGCAAGTGATTTTAATTCACTATCGCTGTTTTCTAGCTGGTCTAAAACCGCTTTTGACCTAAAGAGACGCTTTTTAGATGCCATGGATGTTCTCAAGTTTCCAGGCAGAAAGAACGGTAGAAATGCAGGTTTCCAGGCAGAAAGAACAGTAGAAGTGCAGGCAGGGCACTGAAGCACTAGGGACAAAACTGAGGTGAAATGGTTTGATACAGTAATGTAATCCTAACAGATTACAATGTATTGTGTGTATGTCATGTTTTTACTTTTTTTTTTTAAAACTCCCACCAGTTCCACCCCCCTGCGTTGCTGCTCTCACAGGGAAGGGAACCCGGAAGACGGATGCCGGCATCGGCCGGAGGATACAGTGGGAGGACATCAGCTGGAGGACAGAGTGGGAGGACATCGGGGGATGACAGGTAAATTACACTACACGCACTACAGTGCAATCCCGCTTTTGTTACTGAAAATTAACTCCGAACCACACTTGGGATTACCGCCAGGGGGGACATGCAGATACCTTAAGTGCTGGATTATCTAAGGGTAAGCAGGATTTTTTTCTAATCTGATAACTACAGTATTTTTTTACAAATCTCTTGGTCAGCAATATCTGCCAGTGTGTCGACAGGCAAGATTGGCCCTATCAGGAAATGGTCATGGTAAAGGGAACCTTCAACTACTTGCCAATTCTCACCTCATTCACTAAGCCCAGTGGAAAAATGTCTTTGCACGATCAATCACTCTTATTCAATCAACCTGGTATGTCAAAGTGACCACAAGATTAAGTGTTGTTGGCAGCTTGCCATTGCACCTAAAACTTTACAAGCCTCCCTACAGCTCAATAAGAAAGCCCATCACTAATATGGGTGCTTAGGGGATTGGAAGGGAGGGTGCTAATGTCGAGTTTTATGAGAGAAGTGAGTTTACCATCAGCTGCTTATATCACTGAATCTAATGCTTATCCATTTGTCACTGTATATACAGCTTCACTTGTCTACAATTTTGGTACACTTCTATCAATTCTAAATTCAACTTTGTGCCAAAATTCTAGGAAGAAAGATCAATTGTCCTATGATATTGGTAGTGTTACCCTCATGAGTGCCTCTGTGTTGTGGGTATCCCTAAGCCTCTCTCCGTACAGCCAGGCAACAGGTATTTCTCGCACCAACTTGGTTTTGTTATTTTCTTAGGGGAAATCAACTTGGATGAGGAATAGGGATTATGGGATGCCCAGTTTGGCCTGAAACAATGGAAGGGGGACATTTCTCTCCTATATACAAAGGCAGATCCTGGACTGTTTTTTTCCTAAAAGCCGTCAGCCGTTGCGGATCAGTAGCAGCTGCCCTTTTTGGGAGAAGAAATAAATGCCCACTTTACTTCTTGTAGCTACATGCAGATACATCTTCTCTCCCCTTATAGAGCTGCTCCCATCTCCACAGCCTGCAAGCACTATCAGCCTCCTGGCTTCTCGGAAGATCTACCTGGACATGGATTAAGGATTGAGCCCAGTGCTGTTCTTAGAAAGCTGACTATATTTGGCAGTCTTTCCACTTGTAGGTCCCAAAGTGTGCTGCTGTACTCATACTGTCCTCCTTGCTCCCTGCTGCTCCATGCCTTGATTTCACCCGCACCTCTCGACAGAATGTATTCTCCTGAACAAGCCTGAGCCCAGCCTAGAGACCAGCTTTCCCCCAGACCTAGGGGACCCCTATTAGGCAACAACAGTCTCCTCAGTACTCCATCTTCCACCCAATTCCTCTGTCAGCTGGACTCTCTCATATTTATAGACCAGTCCACCACTCTACCAGGGCCTCCAAACCTGGGATTGGCCAAACCCACCCATAAATATGCAGATTAGGCCTACACCCCTTCATTCTTACTGACTTTTAGAAGGTTCCATGGTCTTCCAGAATCAGGAGAAGGTGATAGAGCCATAACCTGTTGAGTCATCCAGCTGACCTGCAGTAACCCAACCTTAATCACATGATTCACAAAACTACCATGAGTCTTACTCAATGATTTTGATACTCTACACTATTCTAGTAGCACAATAGAAGGTGCTAGATATTGCTTAGTAGATCTTATCCTATGTTATCAATTGCTTAGTGTCTGTTTATATATGTAAGACAAAAGTTTAGATTTAAAAATTGAGGAACCATTTGGTAGATCAGAAGACAAATATGTTACTGGTAATTATGGTCTATTGAAGAATCCACAATTGCAATAATGCTGATTATACCTTTGATAACAAGCACTAAAATGATAGGTTCTTACACTACAGACTGGTATTTATGGCTTTTAGTCGGGGTAACAAAAGATGAAACAAACTATGAACTGGCATGAATCGATAGAGAACACAACGTTTAGCCATTTAACAACAGGTCTCAGCAAAGCAACAGATTGTTACAAGACATTATGACACGTTACTGTTCTCTTATTTCATTTCTTATAACTTTAGCAAATACTGTAAACAGTAAGGCTACGTACTATTGATTTAAAAAAGTAAGCTTTAGTGCAAAAAGGGTCATACTATGTTTACTATACTGTCATGTTCTGCAATACAAAGAAACTAGTCAGTAA